ACCGGCGTTAGCAACACTTAGAGGTTGTCCATTGAATGGAACGGAGTAGAAGAGTAGAGATATGGGCATCACCAAACTGCTTTTGAAGCATGTCCGATTGATTCAGGCAGACAAGAATGTTAGCTGATTTGACGCTTGTCAACTGCTATTCAAGGACTGGAATGGATCCCAGAACTAGGGATCGTATACTTCTAGAGAGTGCTAAAAATAATCTGAGGTACAGTATTTTTGGGTAGCACTGTGAAGTATATCAAGGTGCTTACAGAAACATGGCCTTTTTCGGAGTGAAGGAAAGGATGGATGATAGCCAGATGATGTTCGAGCATTTATTCAATCTTAGGTATGTTTTTTATGCCAGAGTTGATTTAGTTATTCACTCAACTTCAAGGCATCCAAGTTAGTCAACTTCTAATTCAACGTTTAGCTTCACCAAAAGACTGTCGGAGTGGTCCAGGAGCAAATCAAATGATACAGATGTAACAGCGGAACAACTGAAAATTATCAAAGAACGTAATGAATTGGACATTCAACTCTACGACTACGCTGTAAATCTATTCGAGCTTCGCTTAGCAGCCCTTATGAATCGAACTGTCCCGCACGTAAGTTCTTGACTTTCTTAACTCACTCAACTCGGTTACGGTTGAAGTTTTTGGAGGCAAGCAAGTTGCTTGGAATCCTCCACAGCTTCATAGAAGAAAGGTAACATTACTTTGTCTGATCTTGTCGTCCCAGCCTTATGCAGGCCTTCGGCCTTTTTACTCCTCACCTCGTCTATTACTCTTCACTCCATACTGTAGTATCACGTACAGCTTATACCTTCGTCTTCATTCGTCCCCTCTTTTTGGTCCTCTGTCATCATTGCTAAAATACAAAGCAACTAGAAAGGACATGTTTTGAATGCTCATTTATAAACAGCAGTTGACGCCGTTTCTATATGAATGCGATCGCCAATTTGCTGCAGTCTTATAATGCTCTTACCAAACTTTTTACTAAGCTAATAGTTTTCCTTTCAGAACATACAAGCTGGTACGCGCTTTACTCCATTTGTATTCAAGTCTACGCTAAATCATGTACCAGTGGAGTTCATTCGGGATAAGGATCCTCCACAAGAACATGTGCTTCGTATGCCAAAGAATAACGTCCTCAGGAACGCCGAGTATGAGAGCGACTACGATGAAGCCCACGCTTTCGATGAGAATGCCGATATCGAATTTGAACGGGTCTGACGACTTGTAAGAGATTATCTTGCCATTTCGTCACAAATTCAACGCGTACTACTATCGAATCAATCTCAAAATCCCATCATTTATCTAGTCTGTCTGTGCTGTATGCGCCATTATTACCTTGTGCTTTCTATTGATGCTATAAGAAAAATGAAATTTATTTGCTGAAAGCAAATCATTCAAAATGCACTAGATCGCATTAGACTTGAGCACTTCATGAAAGTTCAGTCATTTTGGTGGAGATATAGGATTCAAGGTAAAGGGCTAATGTCTTATGAGTCTCTACTAAACACCAGCATATGATTATTTGCTGGCATATCGTGCCGAGCTACCAATGTCAAACCGCAACTTGAGGCTAACTGAAAAGAATGAGTTCTTTGAGGTAATTTACATAAGTCTCTTACCCTAGATAAATGACTAATATCCCGTAATCCCCATTCAGGATTCTGACTTCGTAAACCAGCATCAAAGTCGATGTTGCTTTGAGGAGAGATGACACCATCTACTGCGTACGGTCCGTAAGTTATGAGCAGGCCACTACCTCTTTTTAGAAGCACACCCGCTGCCTAGAAAAGTATAATTTTGATTCAATAATTCTAAACCTCAAGTCGTATAAATTTTTGCTCACATTGAAAAGGCCGTCAACAGCGGCATTGGAGCTAATATGAATCATGTTACTACTAAGTATAACATCCACCGCTTGTGGACCGTAATCTCCCGGTAATGCCCAATGACTGACCGGTTTCGTCACATCGATAAACAACGGCACCCGAACATTACCAAGCTAAAATTTCAGCTCCAGACATGAATGGTAAATTGCGCGCTCAAACGGTCTTTTATAGAAGCAGAACAAAATCATAGATGTAGCAAAAACCTACTCTATAATGGTCGATATAGGCAACAATACTGTGAAGAGACCGAGCATCAATTTCAGACGGTTGAAAAGTGACTCCAGGAAATTTTTCGGCAAATTTAATTACATGCTGTCCGGTTCCGGAAGCAATCTCTAGTAGCTGCAATGAATGCTATGATCATATAGACTATTAATTAATATTGACTGGGAGTGTTTCATGAGGAAGGTCGAGATATAGCAGGAGAGCAGAGCAGAAGCTATTTGACGTAATTTGAATGACCAGTGATTAGGGAAGAATTAGCTAGATCACATTACTTTGGATGTGCAAATATGACTATAAGTTGATATAATCAAACTGCTAAAGCTGTTATCTGCCTAATAAGATAAGGTAAATAGTATCAACTCACTTTCATATCATCAGTTAGATATCTACGCAACACATCAGATATGGGACCAGCATTGCGTTCAGCAGCTGCAGCTCGTAACATCATAACAAGCTAGAAAAGTAGATAAATGTAGCACTGTCAGAAACTCCATGCAGAAATGCGAGTTCGGCTGGCTGCTATATCAAGCGATTATACAACATGGAGCGATACGTTCGCAAACTAGATTCGTGGTATGGATGAGGCTAAATCGAGACCGCAAATGTATTCATGCTCCCTGCACTACATGCAGTTCACTTGCTGTGCATAACCTCTCG